GAGCTAGGGGCAAAATTCTGAGGTGCATTTTTTGATCCGCTCACTCACGGATCCCTTGAAAATAAGGGCTTTGAAACGAATTTGTTGATTTACTTTGAGAGGAAAAACGTAAAATTGTAAGATTATTTTTTATTGATTCTATAAATGATTTTTAATACATTAGATTGAAACCAAAAACAAAAATTAAGTTCAACTTACTGAAAATTATGAGAATCCAACAAACTTTTAAAGACCGGTAAAAGAGATCAAATTAAGTTAAAACTAACTCAAAAAATATTGTTAAGACTCCTGGTGATACACACGTAGTTAAGGACGGAACTATTAGGGGCTGGGGGGGGGTCACCTGCTCCAAAAATAATATATATATTTTTAGTTTAATAAATAGTAAAATTATATATTTTTAATAATTTGCTCTCCTATTTCTTAGTTTTCATTTTTATTTTTGTGTAAAAAACAATAAACATTATATAATTTTATTGATTTTTTATTCATTATTAATATTTTTTAATAAAAAAAATAAAATTTATATAATTGTATTAAATTTTTTAGTTCCAAACGCATTATTATTGTCGGACTTTTTTTCCCTTCTTCTTTACCCCGATGTACCAAAGGGAATTAAAAAAAAAAATCCAACAAATAAAAATGAACCTATATTTTGCTTCCTCGAAGTTTGGAGGCTAGTTTCGCCGGTGCACGTAGTTAATCAGTATATTATCTATTACATGTAGGATAACATATGATTGACTCTAGGATATATATTGTTAAATAGAAATATCTCTTATTTCCTATTCTGTCATGTACTCCCTCTATTCTACCTAATTTGTGCTTTATTTTTATTTTCGTCCGTCACATAATTTATCATATTTTTTTGGAAAATATAATTATAAACTTTAATCACATTTTAAAATTCATAATTTATAAATTTTTTTTTTTAACTAAACTATTTAGTCATTTTAATCTTAATCTATAGTTATTTTTATTAAATAATAATTATTTTTACTAATACATTTATTAATTACCGACTAATTACACAATACCTCAAATTTCGTACCCCAGCTAAAATGGACAAATTAGTTTGGATTTTTATCACGCAGTTGTAAAGATTGTCTAACTTGCAAAATAATAATAAATATAAGCAGATTATTCTGGTGTAGAATGTACAGTAGGTGAAGGTTGACAGCACTATTTACTTTGTCTCATGCTATCTAAGCCCCCCACAAAAAAAAGGCCAGTCTGAAGGTTTTCTGAAGTGCTCTAAAAATACTCAATCATATTTTGGTGCAAAGAAAATTAATTGTGTTGAATCATATGGTCAACTCTAAAGCTGTATGACCAACAATTGAGAGTAAAACTTTCTCTTTGAGAGTAAAACTTTTGAGAGAAGTGCATTCGTATTCTCAACTTTTTACTATTTATTTTTCATGTTTTGGAAAGTGTTATATCTTCTATATTTACCGGAGGAGCTATAGGAAGAAGAAGAAAACAAAGAACCAATCAGGCATGTCGACCAACTTATAGACTATGTTATTTTTATCTAGAGGAGATCGGCAAGTGTTATTGCAAAGTAGCAATAACTAGTTACCTGCCCAGGATATTGCAAGGTAAGCTATCGCAACAAAAAAACAATAGTGTATTTGTAACGGAATTTATCTCTAAAGTTCACGTAGCTAACGTAATTCTATCCCTAAAGTTCACGTAGCTAACGTAATTCTATCCCTAATTTCGTCTCTAATGTCATTAGTAACGGAAACAGTAAATTTAGAGACAAAAAACATTGTTAAAAAATTAATATTTTCGGAGTTTTAGGAATATTTTGATGAATTGAGTCCTTGTAACCTGGATAGAAGATGGTGGACACACCTCTGGATTGGTATCCCTGATGTAGTTTGGTTATGATCAAACTAGATTAATAATTGTTTTGTGATATCCATTGCTTTATGTAATTACATTCATGTTGACACTAGGTAGTTATTACTGTTAATTTATCGTGCATCAACTATTGTCGTGCATCAACTATTGTGCGATTTCATGGTTCACAATACCAATGTGCATTTTCTCCAAGGAGTCGGTCACTTTATAGTGTTTGAGGGGACTTCAGATAAAGCCAATTTCCAATATATATATATATATATATATAAATAAGGTGATTGTGTAGACAATGACAGATTCAAAATTTTTTTTTATTGGTGTCATAATATATAAAGTTAAAATAATAATACTACAAGGTTCATCTAAATTTTTCGGATAAAAATTTTAAGTGGCACTCCAATTTTGTAGTGGTTGCACAATTATTAAATTATAAAAATTCCTTTTGGTGATATAAAAATTACTGATGACACGTGCCACCAACCAGATATAATGTAGATCCGCCCTGTGGGCAGATCTCAACAAATCCATTGTGAGGTGACTAAAGAGGATCGACACTTGTCTGTGTTTCAGTTTCAGATGAGATTCAATTAATTAATTTACTGATCGACAGACTTTTCATTAATTAAATTAAATTAAATGTGTTTAGTGATGGACATATATAGTTGGAGAACAGAGGCTGCTTCTGCAGCAACGTATTTCCCAATTAGAGGATGGATGAGTTCAACAAGATTCTTCGTAATTTCTTATTGGCTGTGCATGTGCACGTCACGTGGCTTCGGCCAATAGGACTCTGTCTTTCCAGACAATTAGTATTTGCCATTTATGGGAGTCTCGCATAATGCATCCATCGAGGTCCATGTCCATCTTACTTTTTTAGTTCTAGGGTTTTTTATCTTGATATTTAATTAATTGAACTACAAGTACAACACATCTTAATTATTTATTTTAAAATTTTTACATGGGTTATATGGATTTTCATCATTACCACTTAATACATTATTCATTTTCATGGCCACCATGATATATACCTTCTCCATCTAGAAGTAGTAGATATACATTTCTTTTATTTTAATCATATTAATTAAATATACTATCATTTCAAAAAAACAAAAAATACTATCATTTCATACAAAAGCACTAAATTAAATACTCACTTCAACATATTCATACATTTATTAAATATGGACTCTTACAACCTAAAAGTATTTTAGTCTTTATATAGTTATACTACTCCGTCCGGCTCTAAGGGTTCCATTTACTTTTTGCGTATTAATATTTGAATTTTAATTATTAAATAAAAACGTAGTACAAATCAAAGGATAAAGACAAAAATACTTCTATTATAATGACATTTGTGAAAAAAATTATATAAGTATGAGAATATTTTAATGGCGTAAACGAGACCCGTAGAGCCGGACGGAGGGATCGGAGTACAATATACTCATCGTAAAATATATTTACTCATCGTACAAAGAGTTCATATACCTATGGCTACCAGGCAAAGGAAATACAAACTTTAAAACTAACGTTATACTAACATTTTTAATAGGGATGTGCATGCAATCATATAATGTGGTAGTCTCAATCTATGAAATTAATTCAAATGTATATAAAAATAAGAATAAATTAAAAATTGTGTTGCACATATTTGATATTAAGTACAAATCCTACTCTTCCTTTTAACAAATCATTTTATTTTGAATTGAACAATACAAACCAGTCAAAATTCTCCCAATACATCAAATAATAATAAAGCATATGATATATATTTCTTATAGTATATGTATGTGACATTTGTCTAACTTTTTAATTATGCTTGTAAAATTTAAATTTTGTTTAAATTTTATAAAACTGATCTATGTAAAATATGAAACTACAATACAAATTAAAAATATAAAATAAATTTACTGTGTGAACACTTACTTTACTTCATAGTTTGGATGCTATTACACTCAACCAATGATTTATCCGAAATAGGTATAGAGGTTAACTTGTGATCGTAAAATTATGGTTCAAACTTTTGACACTTTTAAATCTTGTCTGCCTATCATTGTAACTTATCTTATGGAACATAATTTGCAAATTATTAACCGGAGCTTGACCTAGTGTAAAAAAAAAAAAAATTTATCTGGTGCACATTTAAAAAGTTGTAATTACACATTGTCAATGTTATAATTTACATTTTATAATTGATTTTAAACAATTCTAATATAAGATTTACTTATAACTAATTTTATGTGAACTAGAGGCAAGAACATTTAAAATTAAATAGTCTTTTCCACATGCTTTCCAATATAAAACTGTAACTAATTAACTAATTTTAACAAAGTGATAATACCAACAACAATAATGATTTCCTCTTATAGAAAACTAAAGTTTAAACACTTCGAGAATCCCTTTCTCAATCACAATATTGTGTATTCCGATTTTAAATTGAAATCAACCTTATTCACTATGTAGTGTTCTTAATAAAATATACTATTTCCGTCCGGCTCTAAGGATTTGCATGTTGATATTTGAATATTAATTATTATATCAAAATTTAATACAAATTAAGAAAAAATTACAAAAATACTTTTATTAGTATCTTATAATGCTAATAGAAGGATATTTGTACAAAAAAAAATTATACAAATATAAGAATATTTTTAATGTTAAGTACAATAATGGAAAAGTTAAATGTGACCTGTAGAGGCGGACGGAGGGAGTACTATTTTATTTTACAAAATATCATATCGAATAATATTTAAACGAAAATTTAAATCAACACCTCATTTTTAAAATTAATTTCAAACTACAACCAAACAAACATTGTAAATTAACTTTTTTATAACAATATATAGACACAATTAATATAATTGTCTTTTCTATATTTAATATGCCAAAATATAATATTATGTGCATACATGTGTATATCAAGCACTACTATTTTAGTTTTATTGGTAACATGGTTGTCATGCTAATTGAAATGATAGTTAAAATTTTAGTAAGATAATCACATCATCGCACAAAGTATGTACTGATAAATTAATCCTCGAGCTCTTCAACATTGAAACCTTTTCATTTATCTTTTCAAAAGATTAAATATTGTATATTAATAATTTATCTTAAACAACTAAAATTAGCTATAAAGAAAAGCTTGACTTTGAAACCAATGCCCTCTTTCATACAATTATCCCTTCGATCCATCGAGTTGAAGCTATAAGTCTCCATTTTCAAGATCAAAGAGGTAAACCTAATCTCCAATTTTGTGTATTGTAATTTTTTCAGAAATTTCTACATTTTTTTTTTATTAGTGGAAACCCTAATTCTTGGAGATGGGAAGAGGAAAAATTCCTATCCGGAGAATCGACAACTCAACGAGCAGACAAGTGACATTCTCAAAGAGGCGAAATGGGCTTCTCAAGAAGGCCAAGGAGCTCGCGATTCTCTGCGACGCTGAAGTCGGTGTCATCATATTTTCGAGCACTGGGAAGCTCTATGAACTGTCTAACACCAGGTTTGAATCAACAATATATTCAAGATCTATTGATTCATTTTTTCTATCTATATTGATAATTAGCAATAATTATACTGTTATATTTGTTGGACCTACTGCTGTCGAATCACCCTAAACCTTAGAGGAATTAAAATGGTTTGATTTATGATTCAAACAAATAATTACCCAAATTTAAAGTTATTTATCCTCAGAATGGGTTGAATATATACTTCACCATAAGTAGTTTTAGTTACAGATCTACAAACTAACCAAAAATAGAAAATTGAATGGAATTTTTTGTTAGAGATTTGATTTTGGTTTCCTTTTGAACTCATGAATATGCTTTTTGTACAATGTTTATTTTTATTTTTTATTTTTTTTGCATTTTTTCCATCTCTTTTATTTCATGCTAAACTTTGATATATATGCTAATAATATATTTTATAAAGAATGAATACATACAATTAAAATATTTTGTTAGGCAAAATAATTCAACCATATACCTCACTAATAATTCTTCTAATTATCAAGCTTAATTATTTTCTTACTGCCCTTTATTGAAAACCAAAGCAATTGTTATTTTACTTTGAACATTAGCAACTTGGAAAGAGATTCGATGAACTTTGAAATAGGATAAATGCATAAATTTTGTCGTCTTTGCGAATTTATAATACTTATTCATAATTAAATCAATTTCAGCATGAACTCCATTATTGATCGATATAGCAAGGTAAAAGAGGAGCAATATCAACTAATTAATCCACCCTCGGAGGCTAAGGTAAGTTTTAATATTTATGGGTGTGTGAGTATTTGTTTTTGTTGTTTTTATATAGAATATAGTTATTTTGTTTTCAAGAACAATAATCATATTATAATTAAAAAATTTTGTGATATAATAATAACGCTCATAACCATAATCCCCTTGCTAATACATGTTTATATGAATATTTAAAGCTTCAATTAAATTACATGGATGTGAATTGCCATTTCAAAGAATAATAGAACCTTGTATAAATATATATATATATTATAGTTTAAATAAACAATGAATGTATTCAAAATATCACATCATATAACTATATATTCAAATTCAATTTTTTACTATTCAAATCCTAGCCCAAAATTTAAATCCATAAACAAACACACCGTTAGTATTTTTTTAATGGACATAGTTTATCTCAAATATTATCCAAAAGAATATAATATATGATATTCATTATATACACTAACAATAAAAATCAACATATAAAAATGCATTAAACATCATTTTCTATAGTATATTACAATTCTTTATTTCACTATCTTACAACAAAAATATCTAAAACTATAAATACTAAGCAAACACACATAATAATTTTCTTCAAACATGTGATTTTTGCTGAACTTAAATTTTCCTTCATTAACGAACCAATATTAGGGATTGATGTTTGATATATTTACGACATTAGTTCGCTATTTAGTACACGATTGGATATATGAATGTGTACTAAAATAATATTTGAAAATAAAAATAAAAATAATAAAAAATTCAATAATAATGTATTTTGAAATGACCAACAAATTTTCGTTGCGTGCGTAACACGGACCTTCCCACTAGTGTGTGTGTATATATATATATATAACCACGCGATACTTCTAGTTCTTTGATATTTTTATTTTATACATTTAATTTTGATATTTTTAAGGTGAGTAATTGTTTTGTGTCATGCTTTATATGAAAAATTCATATTAAATAATGCTTTTTAGGTACAAAATATATAGTGAAAACCAGTTTGAAAACACAAAGGAATAAACTTTCAACTAATATTATTTTATTATATAGTATATTTTAGGTATAAATGTATTTTTAAGTATGTGGTACTATTATCATTTTAGTTCATGGAGTAAAATTTGTATAGAAATAATTCTTTATCTAATATGTAGTTACTAAACAGATCATTTTGTATTCAAATATTATCATATATATATATATTGTAATGACATATTCAGAATTTACATGAAGTAGCGGCGTGACAATCAGTTTATATTACCAAAGTTTTGTGTGAATTTAATCTTTAAACAAATATAAGCATATGCATATACGTGTGTGTTAATAAATATACAAAATAGATTTATATTAATATTTGGTATTAGAAATTATCACGTGACTAGTCTATATTAGTTCCAAATGTGTTATGTCAATACATGTGATAATATTCCAATATCATTGGATTTTTTTAGCGACTACGTATTACATATACGTTTATTTCTGTATACGTTTTACTCAAATGATCAAAATGAATGCTATATACTTGACTAAAAATGCATTCACATCTTTATTTAATTGCATTTTAAGTAAATATGTGATGTTAGTGTATATATGAATCCCTACTATCTTCTTGAATTTAGCTTTTTTAGTATCTTCTCTATATGAGGCATAATTTTCGATAGAGTAGTATATATATAGTTAGAATTGATATTATCATTCAAAAATTGAAGTGAATTTATACTTTGCTTATTGTTTTCATAATTTTTCTATCTCAAATTGGTAAAAGAAAAGCATAATAAAATTATATCTATGTAAATAAATATATATATATATATATATATGTATATGTGTTTGATATATACATATAAATTATTGTAGTTTTGGCAAAGGGAGGCAGCAAGTTTAAGGCAACAAATACAAGAATTGCAAGAAAGTCATAGGTTAAGTAAATTCTTTCTTTTATGCATCATCACATACATCTAACTTTTATATACAAATAGTTATTGCACTAGATTTGGGATTTACGCGATGTGCATTCCGAGAATAGTGAATGCAATTTCTTACATTATAATAGAAAAACAAAACTTTATATGTAAACTTTATAGGTTATCTTTTGGATTTCATGAAAATTAAAATTTGACCGATTATATTGTTTTGATGAAAGTTTCTTCTGTTGGATCCTCTGACCGGTTTCTTCTTGCATTGTTTATAAAACTCCAGAAAATTGATGGGAGAAGAACTCTATGGGCTGACTGTTGGAGATCTCGAGGGACTAGAGAATCAACTGCAAACTAGTCTACACAATGTTCGACTGAAAAAGGTTCGATCGATCTTTTCAACTATTTAGTGTTTCTTTAAAGTTGCATTTGGTTTGATCTTTTAGAATAGTAAAAATTTTAATTTAGATAATGTTAGATGTGATATAAATATATAATGTAATATTTTAAATAGAAAAAAATAATCTTTTGCATTATATATTAAATAAAGAATATGTATTTGATTTGTTATTTTAAAAAATGAAAAATAGTGCAAAATCACATCTAACGTCAAGGAAAGAGAAAAAGAGAAGAAGAGAGAGAGAGAGAGAGAGAGAATTATAGGTTAAAATTTTGATTTGAATGATAGTTTAATAAGATGGTTTAAGAAGAAACAATAAAAAATAAACCCAAAGGTTTTGTGGTAAGTTTGTGAGTTGGATTTGAGGTTTTATAAGTAAAATTTTGAATTAAAATAATATTCATACAATCTGTTAAAAATAAAATTTTATTTTAATATAATATAATATAAAAGTTAAAAAATAAAAAATAAATAGTTGTTTTGATATTTTTTTTTTGGTTAAAAGTATACATAAATGTTAAAAATCAAATGTTCAAATCCTACAACCAAACATTGTACTTTGATACTACTTGTGAAATAGTATTTAATATGATTTTTCTGCCATTATAGAATAACTAATGAATTATATATAGATATATGTGGAGGTGGAGAGGACCCCCTCTAGTGTGAGAGAGATTTTGCCCCATCCTTAGAGTGACAATCTCAAATTTGCAAGGTGGATTGGATAATTCATCATGCAAAAATAACAAAATTGCTATATTTTACTACTTTTGCAAGATGGATTGGAGATGGTCTAAAGAATTTATCCATTACCCTATGTATTTAAGACTAACCCCTACACTAACAATATATAGACAATACTTCTTATTAGATCAGGAATGTATGTTTTTTGGGGTTGGATTAGAATGGTTGGATTATAATTTTGTATTTAAATAAAATTTGATATAATATCTTATTAGAAAAAATATGACATACTCAGAGTACAAGTAAAATTTGAAAAGGAAAAAAAATCAAGAAACACAAACTTGTGAACTTTGGATAACAGCAACAACTAAATTAAATTGTAACAGCAGACAAGTATTGTTCTTGCTTGACAGGAAAATAAGTTCACTGAAGAAATTCAAGAGCTTAGTAGAAAGGTAACTAAAACACGAATCATGTATTGCATCAAAAGCACATTGAGTTATATATATATATGTATATATCTATCTATCTTTTCAGGGGAATTTTATCAATCAGGAGAATGCTGAGCTCATCAAGAAGATCAATCTGATGGAACAAGAAAACATGGATTTGTATAGAAAGGTATTCACTAATCATTACATGGAGGGAAGATCACACACATGCACTAGTCGAAAATTTACAATAAGCATCAAAAATAGATTTGAATATTAAATACAAGACAATAAATAACATAGAGTTTACATTTGATAGCTACCCTAGGGAGAAGCTTGTTGCTGTTTGAATGGATTTTGATTTTCCGAGCTCAACTAAGTTGTTTTAAAATATATACTACCTGCATCCAGTTCTAAATGTCTCATTTACTTTTTGTGTGTTAATGAATATTAATTATTATATGTACAAATTAAGAAAAAATTACAAAAATACTTCAATTAGTGTCTTATAATATTAATAGAAGGACATTTATACAAAAACTTATACAGATATAAGGTTATTTTTAATGTTAAATACAATGACGCAAAATATAAATGTGACTTTGATAGCGGACGGAAATATATATATTTTTTATATAAAGTATAAACAATTGTGACAATATTATAAATAATAATATTTTTATTGAATTTTAATTTTTTGTTGAGAAAATAGAATATATATTCTTGTCTGTAGTTGCCTCAAAATTTTTGTTATATTCTTTCTTTTCCAGTTCAATTTTCAAATCTACATTTCAAGAAATTATTCACTTTTTGATATTCTATATATATTTAGACATCCATTAGCTAATTATTATTATTATTATTATGACTAATTTTTGTGTATGGTGATGTTATTGTGGAGGCTTATGGTGGAATGATGAGGGACATAATAAGTGCACCAAATGGGGTAGCAGCAGCAGATGAAGATGTTTCATCTTCTACTACATTTGGTTTGAACATAAACAGCAGTAGAAGCAGCCACAGGGATTTATTATTGCAAGGATCACCTACTCGACTTCAGTTGAGCCCTCCTGCACCTCATCTCCAAGCCCCACAACCTGCAGCTGATCAATAATAATATCATTGATATACATATATATATATATATATAGAGAGAGAGAGAGAGAGAGAGGCCACATCATCTCTATCTACACATCTAAACACACATACGTATAAATGATATGATGATGATTGATCGAATTGTTCATCGACACTATTAATTGTGTTTCAATATATCTCAACGAATATGTTAAAATATATTTAGAAGCAATATATTATATTTATGGTAGTTATCTTATTTAAAAGATTCGTAGGATTCTTACCTTATTTAGACGATTTATATATCACTATATCTAACCGAATCAATTGCTGGGAAGGTAATTCTGAACTCTTTAGGATACCATCTTCTCATTGTGAATTCTCTAATGAAATAAATAAATAAAAATGCAAGTCCTTTTCTTGCTAAACAAGTGTTTAAGATCTATTTGAGCTTTGCGGTCTCCTCTTGTATTATAATAGTTATTTGTAATATACATCCTTTGTATGTGTGGATAACTCTAGCAAGTTTCTTCTACTCCACCATTATCACTACAAAAAAATAGTATATTTGTAACGGAATTCCATTCCTAAAGTTCACGTAGCTAACGTAATTCCATCTCAAATTCCGTCTCTAATATCATTAGTAACGGAAAAAGTGGATTTAACAACGAAAAAATCTTGTTACAAAATTGATATTTTTTTTAGTGTATAGTGTTAATAATTTAAGAAAATGAAACGATATTACAATCACATACAATGTTTCTTGAACCTCTTAACCGATGAGGATATATATCGCTACAAGAGATCCGAAATGGCTCAACTGTTGATTTACGGTCTTAAGATAATCATGTAACAATTGAAATGATCCTTAAACCGCACTTGAATGAATGTTGCTAATATACCGCATATGCTATTAGACAATATAATAGTAGCTTCTTGTAATTGATTTGAACATATTGTTTAGATATTTTAAATATTAAATTTTAGATTTAGATTTATTTTTGGTCTTATTTATAGATTAGATTACTATTAGATTACTTAGATTTGAATGTATCGAGTCTGTTTTATATTGCCTATATATATCCGTTGTTTTGATCACTACAAAAAATTAGTATATTTGTAACGGAATTCCGTTCCCGAAGTTCACGTAGCTAACGTAATTCCATCTCTAATTCCGTCTCTAATATCATTAGTAACAAAAAAAGTGAATTTAGGAACGAAAAAATCTCGTTACAAAATTGATAATTTCTTGTAGTGGATGATCAATACATTGCAATTTTTTAGTTTCCAAAAAATAATTTCAAATGGTATTAAAAGTTAAATCATTTGTGCCTGTCAACTTGCACTATTCGAAGTATAACTAAAAAAATTTCAATTCATATTAATGAAAAAAAGAATAAAAAGATGAATTTGTTATAAATTTTCTATCTTATATTTTTTTAAAGATTTAATGACATATCTGACATTTTACCTTCGTATATTTAGTTTAATATTTATAAATATTGAATTTAAACTTCTGCATTTGCAAGCAGCAGTACATACTCTCTAATTGTGTTTTAGACTGACTTTATCTATACTATCATATAGTAAATAGTGTGCTATATGAAATATCATAATATGTTTTTAAGATATTATGCAAAAAAAAAAAAAAAAAGAAAAAAAAAAGGGGATTTTATGCTGTAAAAAAATACTTACATTGAAATTTTAAAGGTCATGTGTATTAAAATTGATTATTTAGATTGTGTTTTATACAGACTTCAAATATGATTTTATTTTTTAGATTTATGAATGAGCTATATATAATAAACGCTTATATGTTGTTCCGATTATTCTTTAACAAGCCCTATGAATTTTTTTGAATTGAATTGCAATTTAGAGACCATAAAAAAAAAAAAAAATGGAAATTGATGTTTCGATCAATTATTGGATGCTATATTTATATAAATTTAATGTTTGATGTTTTATAAAGATCTCACAATTATTCATATTACGATTCATTAAATCTAAATGGATTTTGCCCTTCTAGCTATGATGTATGAGGTTTCCTTCCAAGAGTATCAATAAGTTTAGTTATGAACAACTCATATTTATTCCAATCAAAAGCCAAAATCTTCTTTGCGCTCATGAATAAATGGCAGAGCATCTTATATCTAACAAACAATCATTCCGAAGAAATTCCTAATGGCACATCCTCTTTCCACATTTATTATGTTTTTCTAGAATCCTTAGTCTATCGTGGTAGAGTACAAATTTCAGGAATACGCAGAAATTGTGTATGTCTTTTTGTTGCAGAGATATTCATTAACAATATTGAATAACAACACATGCCAACATTATCCAATAGCTAATAAAAAATGGCACCCACATAATTGGCACTAAAGTGGGGGAATTAGCCCATGCTCCTATTTAATCCCTAGTGTTGGTTTATTTTGGGAATTAGAAGGAGAAAAAAATTGTGAAACTGAAACTTGATGTATGTTATTCGCTTGAGAAAAGGCTATAAATATAGCAATATAAACAGAATCACCAACTACTTTCTAAAAGTTAGGAACAACCCTAACTACGTTATTTGAAGTAGTCTACAATTTTTTAAAAACTGAAACATAAATAAAATAAAGTTGACGCAACAGACTAAAGCACGATTTCAACACTTCTCCTTGCTTTGAATGCTACAAACTCCAAGTCTTTCTCTAAGAAACTCAAATTTGTTTTTTGAAAAAGGCTTTGTTAGTATGTCAGCTAACTGCAGATCAGTTTTGCAATACTTTAAGCCAACCAAGCCTTCTTTCTGAACTTCCCTAAGAAAGAACAATTTGATCTAGAAATGCTTGGTTTTTCCATGAAAGACAGGATTATGAGAAATTGCAATTGCAGCCTGATTATCCACAAAAATATTGATGCTTTTGTCTTGTTTCAGATTCAGATCTTCCAATACCTTTTTTAGCCAAAGTGCTTGATTTACAGCTGCATTAGCGGCTATAAATTCTGCTTCTACTGTAGATTGAGCCACCGTATCCTGCTTTTTGGAGCACCATGAGAATACTCTTGAACCGAGCTCAAAACAATAGCCTGAAGTACTTTTCATATCATCCAGCAAACCTCCCCAATCACTATCAGAATAGCCTTGTAGAACACACTCTTGATTTCCAGAAAACTTGATTCCATAACTAAGTGTTCCTTTTATTTATCTAAGGACACACTTAGCAACCGTAAGATGAGTGTCAGTTGCCAGTTCAAAAATCTGGATAGAAGGCTCACAGTGTACAAAATATCAGGCCTTGTAGCTGTCAAATACATCAAGAAACCAACCAAGCTTCTATAGAATGTTTCATCAACCTTTTCAGCTCCATTTTTTTTCTTCAGCTTTTCCTTTTGAGGCATTGGAGTGCATACCCTTTTGCATTCATCCATTCTAAATTTCTTTAGAATCTCCCTTGCATATTTTTCTTGATAAATGAACACTCCATTGTTTTGCTTTATTTCCATTCCTAGGAAGTAAGTCATTTTCCCCAAATCTGTCATCTCAAATACTTTACAAGTTCTTCATTGCTATCTGTTACTAACAGATCATCTACATATAATGAAACAATAATGAAATTGATTTCATCACCTTTTATGTAGAGTGTAGCTTCATTGACACTTTTCTTAAACCCCAATTGCAAGAAGTGCTCGTCAATTCTACTGTACCAAGCTCTTGGAGCCTATTTTAGGGCATACAAAGCCTTCTTTAGCAAGTACACATCATCTTTTTGCCCTTTCACAATAGACCCTTCGGGTTGTTCAACAAAAATCTCCTCCTCCAAGAGACTATTTAAGAAGGCTGATTTAACATCGAGTTGATAAACTTTCCAGCCCTTCTGTGCAGCTATTGCAAGCAATAATCTGATAGTGTCCAGCCTCGCAACATGAGCAAAAGTGTCAAAAAAATCAACACCAGAAATCTGAGCATACCCTTTCACAACAAGCCTAGCTTTATGCTTGTTTATTGAGCCATCAGGATTCAACTTTGTACGGTACACCCATTTCACTCCAATTACTTTTCTATCAGCTGGCCTTTTCACTAATATCCATGTTTGGTTTTTATTAATCATCATGATTTCATCTTCCATTGCAGAGGTCCATTTTGGATCATTTTTTGCTTCCCAAAAATCTGTAGGTTCAAAAACAGCTACATTGCATCTTTCATAAATATTAGATAATGATCTCATACCTCTAATAGGGGGGTCATCAATTAACTCATCTTCTTTGAGTTCCATTGTTGGGGCTGGATCAGGAACCAAGATAATTTGTTGCTTTTCATTCCAATCCCATGAATCATCTTCCATGAAATGCACATCTCTGCTTATTAGAATTTTCTATGTGGTTGGAAAACTCTATAAGCCTTTGAGATTGTGCTATAACCGATGAAAATTCCTGCTTCTGCTATTTTATCCATCTTATCCCTTCTATTTTGTGGAACATAAACAAAACAGGGATAATCAAATACTTTGAGATTTTTTAAGAAATGTTTGAATCCATACCAAACTCCATGTGAAGTCTTGTCAGCTAAAGCTTTGACAGGCAGCCTGTTAAGGAGAAATACAGCGGTAGGGGCTGCTTCTGCCCAATATTCCTTCGGCAAATTCTTCTCAAACATTAAGCATCTAGCCATCTCCATTATGGTACGATTTTTTTCTCTCACTGACTCCATTTTGTTGTGGTGTGTATGGAGCAGTGAGCTAGTGTTCAATTCCAGCCTCTTCACATAAAATATTAAATTGATTTGAAGTATACTCTTTGCCATTATCTGATCTCAAGCTCCGAATTTTGCAACCACTTTGTGTTTCAATCCATTGTTTGAATTTTAAAAACACACCAGTAACTTCAGACTTGTATTTGAGGAAATAGATTCAGAAAATTCTAGAATAATCATCAATGAAGATCAAGAAATACCTAGTTCCATTTAGTGATGGAGTTCTATGAGGTCCGGCTAAATCTGTGTGTATCAACTGTAGCTTCTCAGTAGCTCTCTAAGTGGCTTTCTTGAAAGAAAGTCGTGATTTTTTTCCCAATTGACAAATTTTGCAATCTGAAATTTCAGATTCAAGATTAGGAAGACCTTGAGCCAAATCCTTTGCCTTTAAATTCAGCACTGCTTTGTGGTTGAAATGTCCAAGCCTTTTGTGCCAAACTTCTGCATTTGATTTTTTAGCAAAAAAAGGCATTTTGCTCATCCTCCAA